GGTAACCTAGCCCCACCCCAACCTACCCACCCCGCTACTAGCATGACATTGAGCTTACCCAATCACCTACTCTCCCATGTGAATCTGTCTGAACTCTGTGTCCCTGGGTTAACATTATATATATATGTTCACCACATTAAAGAATAAAGGAGGAAAAACAAGCAATCATCTCAATAGGTGCACAAAAAGTATTTGACAAAATTTAACACCAGCTCATAATTAAAACTCTGAGTGAATTAGAAATGAAAGGGAACTTTTTTCAACCTGATAAGGACATCAATGAAAAACTCACCTGATAGCATCATGCATAGTGGAGAAAGACTCGATCAGGGGAAGAGAAATAAAAAACTGGTAAATCTGCTGCTAGAGTTGCCATCTTAAGTAGATAGGCGAGGTGATGAGCAGCCTGGTTTCTCCTCTTCCCATCCTTTAATCTCCTGTCAGTGTCTCCCATTGGCTGATCCCAAGCAGGAGCCAGTTCCCCTGAGGGCCTAGGAAACAGCCCATGGAGGTCTTCTCCCTGCAGCTCAGAGCACAGCTGGGAAAGGCCAGGGGGGCCTGAAGGGAAGCAGGACAGGACGTGGCAGCCTTTTGGGAAATTGCCATCTCTCTTGGCAGAGGAAAGGGGGTCTTGCCCAGCACAGCCAGGCCAAACATACGGTCGTCCAGCAATATCTACTCACCTCCAGAGGGCCTCTTGCTGCTAGCCTGGAACCTCTTCCTCATCCTATAATCCCTCTTCCCCTAGCCACCTGTTGAATCACCAAATCTGACATCCGGGTCCCCAGGCCAGCGTTCCTTCTCCTGTGCCATGCTGAGCACCTGCCTTTTCACCAAGTCATTCAGAAGACTGGGGTCCTATCATGCTCCTCTAGCCCAGGCTCCATTCCTGACTCCAGTTTCTGTCAGCCCCCTCCACACACACACACACACACACACACACACACACACACACTTGGTAACCTAGCCCCACCCCAACCTACCCACCCCGCTACTAGCATGACATTGAGCTTACCCAATCACCTACTCTCCCATGTGAATCTGTCTGAACTCTGTGTCCCACCAGGCCCATCTGGACATTCTGGCCAAGTCTATGATAAGACAAATGTTGCCAGTAAAATTTATGATTTGAGCTGTCTTCCCAGGTTGGAGACGAAGTATCTGTGCCCACTGTGTTCTTACCACGTTCCGTTCACGCCTCTATGAGGCCATTGACAGTTTCCTCTGATAAAGGACTTCGGTGGTGGGAACACTACACTGACTTAACTTTGGGGGAACTCCTTCCCTGTTCTGAATCCTTGCCGTTCAGGGGAAATGAACTCCTCGTTTCCCCTCCCCACCTTCATCCACAGTGTTCCAGGGACGGAGCACATGGCCCCGCATAAGCCATGCAGAGTAGCTTTCATTCCCCTTGTTCTAGCGATTGGTTCAGAGATGGACACAACCCCAGTCAGACAAATCAGAGCTCACAAGACTCACTTATAAAACTAATTTGAGCTGTGAAGGAAGCAGATGTATCTGTAAGACTTATCCTGGGGCAGAGGAGAATGTTTCCTTATGGGGACAGAGGCTTAGCCCCACAGGCCTCAAAGCACATCTTTGACTCATTTGTCTAAACATTTTCCCTGGGACTTGCCCCACATCCAGGAGAGGACCTGGGGGCCCATGAAGGGCAAGTCTATGGGGCACAGGCTTATTCCTCCTGGCACCTACTCCTGCTGCTCCAGGAGGTCAGGCTGGGGGAGAGCTTGAGACTGCAGCCAACCAGTAGCTCTCACATCAGCCTTGCCTACGGCGCCTCGCCGGTGACTGCATTTCCATTTCCCAGTCCCTCCTACACTCTGCAGTGCTGGGACTCACCGTGCAAACCGCATGCCTGCTTTGCTTGCTGGCTTCCTGTTAGGATTTGTTCACAGGAGACACTACAGGGAGACTGGGAGGCAGGAATAGCTGAGAAGGAACTTGCTCCTTCCCATTTGCGGATGTTTCCTGTTAGCATCATCCCAGCAATGGCCCCAACAGCACAAACTGACTCTGAGCAAGAAGTTTCCAGCTTCCTCTGGCAGTCTCAGCACCAGTCTCATTACCGCTCACCCTCAATCCCTTAGCGCCTCCTCCTCTCTTCTGCCTTTAAAAGCTGGAGTTCCCCGTCGCTTCTCGGCCTTTTGGCTAACATCAAGTGTAAAAGTTGGACTTCCTGAGACTCGTTAGACTCATTCTTAGGCCCTTCTCTTCTCACTCCATGTTATTTCCCTAAACTGTCTCATCTGTACCCAAACACTGGCTACACTCGGGTGACCCACAAATGTACATCTCCAGCACAGCCCCCTTACACTGACCTAATGAAACTCAGAATGTTCTCCTCAGGCTTCCACCAAGACCTGGGTAGCTAACATTCCACTAAACATCTCTGCTTGGACATCTCAAAGGTACCAAATACGACATGCCTTTCAGTGATCTCCATCGCGTTGAAAGGCACCGCCATCATTCTATCATGCCTTCTCCAGTGTCCCACACTAAATCTATCGCCAGATTCTGTCCACTCTCCCTCTCTCAGAAAAATCCACCCATTTCTCTCCATGCCCTGACCCAAGTCAAGCCCCACCTTCTCTCCCCTGGACAGGCCTCTTGGTTTCTCCTCCGTCTATGCCAATCTGCTCTTCACATCTATGCTGATCTCTTCATAAATGTACATTATCAGCAGGTGCGTCCCCAGTTCAAAGCCACTCAGGGGCTTCCTATTGCTTTCACGGTAAATACCCACAAAGCTCTACGGGGCCCAGACTTTCCAAATGGAGCCTTCCCAGCCCTCCAGCGTCACCTCAAACACCTCTCTTTCTTGTTCTCAGGGCCCCCTCCCAAGGGCTCTTTAACTGTATCCAACGTGCCATACTCCTTCCTGCTTCAGGTTCTCTCTCCAGAACACCTTCCTTGACTCCAATCTTGCATTGCCTACTAAAGCGTGTCACTCATAGCGCTCACTAGGGTTTGTCATCATCTACTCATAAGATTGCCTTGTGACCGTCTGCCTCCCCAAGTAGACTGGCTGTCAGCTCCTTAAAGGACTGTGACGTTTTGCTCCCCTGTACATCGCTTTAACTAACCCAGTGGCCAGCACACAGTAACCCTCAATAAAGCACCACCCTTGCTACGAGCTGGTCACTATCCTCAGTGCTATAAATCTATTATCTCACTTAACCCAAGAACAACACTAGAAGCAAGTACTATTATTGCCTCCATTTTATAGCCAAAATAATCAAGGCCAGAAAAATTAAGCAATTTGCCATCACAAAGAGGGTTAGGTCCATACACAGCCTGGATTAAACCTTCCTGGCTGACCCGAGAGTCTGCTGTTGATCACTGCCTACACTGCCTCTTCATAGATGAGTAAGCGATGATTCCCACCTAATAGAGGAGCAGCCTGCAGTTCCACTGAGCTGGAGTTCGAACCCAGAGCCGAGGACTCTTCCCGCCAGCCTTGGTCCCTACATCTTTGCCTCAGTGACCTCATCAAGAGCTTGTAAGCTTCTCATCTATGGCTTAGACCCAACTCTGGCTTTGTATCAAAGGTGCTAATCACTTGCTAAATTGACAGACTCTGGGGCTACCAGAGAGCCTATTCTAGGATAGCAAGCGCAGGGGGTCCTGCAATTCTTGGTTTAGATGCCTATCTCACCATAGACTATGAGCTCCTGAGGCAAGGACTGGATTTATCCCCAGTGGTTGGCCCATTTCAGACCTCAGTGGGTGCTAAATGGTCTTCATTTTGTTTCATCACAGCTTTTATTCAAAGTTCTTCATTCACTCAAAGCCTTGGCACATCTCTTTAGAAGAAAAAAGAATTCTTAAAACTACAACAACAACAAAAACAGCCCCGCCAACATGGCTCAGTGGTTGTGTCAACCTAGGAACCAGGAGGTAACAGTCAGATTCCCAGTCAGGGCACATGCCCAGGTTGTGGGCTCGATCCCTAGTGTGGGGCGTGCAGAAGGCAGCCAATCAATGATTCTTCCTCATCATTGATGTTTCTATCTCTCTCTCCCTCTCCCTTCCTCTCTGAAATCAATAAAAATATATTTGAAAAAAAAAGAAACAGAGAGGTTGCATAACTTGCCCAAAATTGCTCAACAATCTTCAGACAGCTAATCCTTACTATTTGGGGAAGGAGGTTAGGGACCCTTAAATGACCTAATGAAACTCAGAATCTTCTCCTCGGAAAGGCATCTACATACAGAACATTGCCTATCACCTTCTCGGTCTCACAAGCCTCAGGAGCCCGAGGCTGAGGGTGTGGGGTGAACACTACATTGAGGATCTCTACTGTAGTCCAAGGAAGAAAAGTTCTTATTTTCCAGTGATTGTGGGAAACTGTTGGTAATCGATTTCCAATTTATAGCTGGATATATGGTCACCTAAACTTCAAACTACATTTCCCAGCCGCCCTTGCAGCTAAATAAAGCCATGTGATTGAGTGCCAGCTGTGTGGTTCGGTGTTAGCTAACATGAGAAGAAATAATATATACAACTTCCAGGTTGTGCACTTAAAGGGAAGAATGTACAACCTGGTGGCCACACACTTGGCTCCAGCAACTGCATCAGAGTTTACAGCAGCCTATGGGCCTGATCAGCCTTTTCTACTCATTCCACGTTCTTCCAACCTCCTGTTGACGGCCCAGAGGCCCAGGTCCCCTATAACCTTCACCTGCATGGGCTCACCGAGCCAGCTGATCTCTGTTGGAGACCCACCATTTACAATGTCCTTGCTAAGTTCTCAACAGGACTGAGCCCCTATTTTAAAGGAGTTCATCCGCTAAGGAGGGAGACACAGAACAAGGGACCTTCAAATACCAGACAGAGAATGACAGCTGCCAAATGAAAGCAACACAGATCAGGGCTCTGGGACTTGATCGTGGATCGTGGAAAGAGATTGGGTTCCAACGTGGCCGCTCGTGCTGTGTGACCTTGGACAGACACGTTTCCTTTCTGGGCCTCAGTTCTCAGACACTTGTCACTTTAGTGTTGTGGACCACATGCTAGCGAAGGTCTTCCTCAGCCCTAACCCTCCAGTCATTTGTATTCCTCCCACCGAGCACATCATGCATTTGTGCTGTAATGCTTCCGAAGAGAACTGGTGTTGGTTCCAACTCACTCAGGTTAAACATGGTATTAATTAACTCCCCTCATAATCTTGAAGGGTTTCTGTGACAAGTGACTTTCCAAGTGTGTCCTATACAATGGAATAGTCATCCTAAGTAGTCATGGTGATGAAGTCATGGGAAGAGAGGGTCTCCTGGGGTCAGCCAGTCTATCCTCCACCTCTAAGAAGAACTATGCCAGACCAGAGAATGGGAAGTCTCTTCAGACAGGACTCTGAACAGGACTCTCATCATGTGTGTGTGTTAGAAAACACAGGGTCGCCAACAGTCTAAATCTCTGCTTTTCCAATTCAAGCCGCTTCCCTGGGTCTAATCTCTGTGACTGACGATGGGGAACAGCTGGCCACCACCCTCTCATAATGACCCTTCATAAACATTTATGGGACAGAGGTAAGGTGTGCCCAAATGACCTGGGCCATCTTGATGTCTGGGCAACTGCACTGACAGGAATTTGATTTGTAGCTTCCTGTGCAGACTTGGGGCTTTGCCTAAAAGTGCTCTCTGCTACCTGTGCATCTGTAAAATGTGCTCCACCCACCAAATTAGGTCAGATGCCAGGGGCCCTCCAAGCTCTCTATGGTTTCTGGTGGACAAGAGTGAGTGAGCCATAGGCACACACCACCATCTGGCCTCATGGATTAGCCCACACCCCCTTCTTTAGTAGTCGTTCAGCAAGAGCCTAACTGGGCTGGTCTTACAAACAGCTCACAAGTGGGGTCCACAATGTAACAGCAAGCCACGGTGGACGAGGCATAGACTTGGGGTCAGACCACCTAAATTCTTTTTTTAAAAAAATATATTTTATTGATTTTTTACAGAGAAGAAGGGAGAGGGATAGCTAGAAACATCCATGAGAGAGAAGCATCGATCAGCTTACCTTCTGCACAACCCCCATTGGGGATGTGCCCACAACCAAGGTACATGCCCTTGACCAGAATCGAACCTGGGACCCTTCAGTCCGCAGGCTGACGCTCTATCCACTGAGCCAAACCGGCTAGGGCAAACCACCTAGATTCTTATCCCCACTCAATGATACAAATTGGGTGCCCCTGGGTGAGTTATAGCACCTCTCTCAAGCCTTGATTTCTTCATATGTTAAAAGTGATGCTGACCTCTGACCATGCTGCCCCACCAGTTTGGTGAGAAATAATAATGGGTGAGAAAGTGCTGGTCAAATACGAACCTGTGTCATAATTATTGATGATACTGTTATGGTGGTTGCTTCAGACATCAGGTTTCAGAGTGGGCTGCCTGGTGCAGGGAGTGCAAGAAGAATTGCATAGTAGGACTTCTAGTTATAGTTATCATTACTATTATTTCCTGGGTGCAAGTTTCTTTGGAGGTATGTTTTATAATGTATGAACCCAGTAGTTTTCATAGATGATTGAGCACCCACTACACGCTGACAGTTTAATGAGTGTTAGATCATTTAAAACCCACGAGGAGGGCCCTTTACTGTTATCCCTACTTCATTGGTGAGAAAATGGAGGTGCCTCAGAGAGGTTCCACAGCTATGAGTACAAAAGTTCAAATTGGACTGTCTGACTCCAAATTCCATTCTCTTCTCCACTTCTATGCTGCCGGGTACAGAAAGACATCTATAATATAATCTATAGTATAATAAGTAATATTTTGCATTTGTTTATATTATACATAGTATGTGAAGAATAATGAACAGCTAATGTATTCATTATTATATGAAGGGTGTGCCTAAAATAGTTCCTGGATCTGACAGCTGGAGGGGGTGAGCATCCTATCAGTGGTGACTTAGAGTAGTGAGGTGGCTAGATTCCTCCCGCCCTCACTCCCAACTCACAGCAGTCCAGACAACCTTTGGTTCTTATTGCTATTGCCTAGAATCCCCAAGGGGCTCGGGGTGGGTGGGAAGAGGGTCTCGGGTCTGGAGAACAAAAGGGGTCACCAGACTCCCCTGCCAGCAAAAGCTCTAACTTCTCCCAAAAGACAATATCCTTACCAGAGCCACTGGATCTCAGAACTGTCAGGACCACATTCAGAAACACACACACACACACACACACACACACACACACATACACACACACAACCACAAAACCCACAGAAAACAAAGACAACTCTGTTTGTGTGAGGTTGAGGGAGGCTGCCGCTATCTTTTGGAACGAGCAGAGCTCATCCACGCTCACAGTTGGGTGAGAGGGGCACACTTTTCCTGCAGAAACCGGTTGGAGAGAGCAAGGGCCCAGGAGCCAGGTGCCCAGCACCCAGCTCCCCAGTTGCATCCAGCACTGGAAGAAATGAAGGACCGAAAGCCTGGCGTCAGCAGGCATGCCTGGCTGTCACTGGGAGTCGCAGGGCCCAGAGGTTACCTGGCACCAAGAGTTGAAAGATGGAGGGACAGAGGTGGCTTCTTACACCCCTCAGTGCCTGTCTTTGCCCATTACCACTGCCCCCAGGACCTCAACTGTTAGTGACAGACCCATGGGCCAGAAGCTCAGCTCTGGGGAATAGATGAAGGGAGGAGGAGTGACATCCTCTCTGTGTTCCCCTCACTCACAGCCCAAGGCCCACTGGTATCCAAGGCTTCCAAATTTTGCAGAAAGAACTTGAAAATTACAATGTATTTCCTCCACAGCCTTTTCCTTTAGTGGATGGGAAACAGAGAGAGGCCCCGGTGAAATAATTTGCTCAAGGACGCACAGCTGTGGCAGCAGAACCAGGCCCACTATCCCCCTTCACTTGCTGTTAGCCAAGCCCAGACCAGGAGCTTGCATCTGAGCCTCCAAGGAGATAAGCAGGAGGAGAACTGTGCCAAAGGAACTCACTCCCCATACCAAGTCCACTTCTGGGAGTCCCCGGAGGAACTAGGCATCTTCGCCACGGAAGAGAGTTTAGAAGCCCAGAGGTCAAGCAAGAGCTAGAGGGCAGGCAGTGCCCGCTCAGCCGGTCCAGAACGTCTGGCCCTCTCCACTCCTTTCAGGGTCCCCATTCCTGCCACCTTTGGATCCTCACTCTGCATCCACAGCCATGCGCTCACGCGCGCCCGGCGCCAAAAGGCATGCGCAAAGTTGGAGGCGGCTGAAGACGGCCTCTCCGCCGTCTGTTTCCCCAGCCTGAGCGCGCACAACCGGGCATATGGACATTGCGCGCTCCGCATCTGTGTCATCACCGCACTTTCTGTGTGTGTGTGTGTGTGTGTGTGTGAAGCCGAGCGCTGGAAACAAACGTGCATCTGTTAAATTCGACAATAAAGTCCTACAGCAAAGCTGCCAAGGCTGGGGCAGCGGGCGGGGGCGGAAAGCCGAGGGGGTGGGAGAGAGCTGAAGTCTCAAAAGGCGACGCCAAAGTGCCTGGCCCAGGTATTATGTCGGGAGAAGGTGAGGAGAGCAGCTGCTCCTTCTCGCGGGCGTGTATGGGAGCAAGGGTGCCTGTGTCCCTGTGAAGAGTACACACCGATCTGCTCAACATATGTCGCCACAAATCACTGTATCTCTCCCTCCTCCCTCCCCCCTCCCTCCTGACAGAGAGCAGAGCAGAAAGAGGCGCTGAGAAGAGGCGCCGCTTCAACAGGTGTCTTGGTGCGCAATGCACCTTTTCACGCATTCACTGTCTGCATCAGCGGCGGGGACAATGTAGACACTTTGTTTCCAGGCGCAGTGCGCCAGCTTCGGACGCAGGGGGGCGAGGCGGCCCTGGGCAGGGAGGGGGGTCTGGAAATAAAGACCTCAGGCACTCCTGGGGTCCCGGGCCCTCTTCTCCCTTTGTTGGAGAACTCCCTGGGCCAGAGCTTCCTTGTGCGCCCTTGGGGGTGGCATATGGCGCCCTCTCACCTACCCAAGAAAGAGAACCAGCCACCCACTCAAGAGCGCACGAGGTCCCTGAGCCCGGGGAGGGGGAGTCTCTGAGGGAAAGGCTCTTTCCCAAAGTGAATGAGGAGCCCGCCTTATCTCTCCCCACCCCACCTGCACCGTCCCCTCAGCTGGCGCAGCAGGCAGCAGCCGTTGGGTGGGGAGCAGCGGCCGGCAGCACCAGCCTGCGGAAGCGCCCCAGCTCCCGGCAGATGAAATATGGGGCTGGTGAGCCCCTGGAGACCATATGTTTTCAATAAAAGAAGACAAATAGGACCGAGATAGGCCTTGCAGCCAACCTGTTATAAATGGGTGGCAATTGGGCCAATGTACACGGCCCCCGGGGGGAGGCCCGCTCGGTGCCAAATGCATGTGTCAGCTTCTGGGACAGGTGTGCCCAGGGGCCAGGGGCCAGGTCTCCCCCCTCTGGGTTTATCACGGCAAAGGTAATATTGTGCTAACTATGAGTAAACAGTCATTGTGAAAACCAGGGAGAGTTTATCAGAGGCGAACTAGTTGGGGGGTGGCTTAACAATAAAGTTGCCTGCCTTGGGAGCAGGTGACGGCTGGCTGCAGGACTCCCGTGGTAGATGTTTTCCAAAGCACTCCACTTTACAATCTCTTGTAATTATTTATTAAACGAAATCTATTTATTATTATTTTAGCAAACACTGGAGACAGGTGGGGCTTTCTTTTCGTCGTCCCCTTTTGTTTGAAGGGCTGTTTGAAGTGGCCAGTCTCGGCCCGGGCAGCTCGCTCGCCAGATTTTTGTCTTCTGCTCTTTCAGTGCCTAGCGAAGGCGAGAGAAAGAAGCCCCCTTCTCTGTCAAGCCATTAGCTATTCAGCCTCCTGTGACCCCCCTCCCTCCCACTCCTTTCTCCAGGAGCCCCCAGGCACTGCTAAGATTCCCCCTGCAGATAGGAAGGCAAAAGGGTGGACCACTGCCTTCCTTCTTTTCCAAGCTGCCCGCTGTCTCTAGGCGTCAGGCTGTCGCCTCTCTCCTGGGGCCCCTCAGCCTCAGGCAAGCCCGGACCTCAAAGAGTCGGCGGGCACGGGGGTCCTGGGGGCACCAGAGGTGGTCGCTGGCCAGAGTCTTCAGGAACAGGCTCTGCTCCCCCGCTGGAAGAGCTGGCGCACAAATACCGCCAACGCGCACTGAGTTGTCATGGACTGCGCCCCAGCCGGCAAAAGCACAGGAATTAACTTTGGAGAGGGGTCTGTGCTTCCTCTGTGGCAGAAAGGGAGGGCGTAAATCCTCAATGTCTAATCCCCTAGGACTCCTCAACCTCCAGCCTCGCCCTCCTGGCCAGAAGAAGGGAAGCGGAGAGTTCTCTCCCGCTGCAAGATGACAGCTGCCTGGGCCGCTGCGCGCTCCTCGCCTTGTTTTTTGCGCAAAGCTGGGAAGTGGCGGCGGCCTGGAAGCCTTGGAGAACCTTGAGTGGAAGGGGCTCTGGGGAGGCTAGATAAGGATTCCGGGCCGGCCCTAGAATTCCTCCCCACAAGAAGGTTCCCAAGAATCCCCAGAATCTCTCCTGGTGCCGGCAGCTCGCCCGGAGGCTGTCTCCAGCACCCAGTAGCCGCTGGAGGCAAGAGGGAGCCGAGGCGAGTCCCACCTTTGCTTCCATCTGAGAGCCACCACTACATGAAGTCCCGGTTGTGGGTTGCTCCCCAGGCCTCCAGGGACACGGAGAGGTGCTTTGATCCCTTATGGCCCGGGTTCCGTCCACGGAGTGGGGCTGGGTCCCAGAGAGCTAGGAAAGCCGTCCTTTGGGTTTCCTCTCTCTGTTCCTGGTTTGCAGGATGGAAATCAAGCAAGGCTGGGGGTATGGGTCAGGGGAGTAAAGAGATGGACAGGAGGGGACACTGGCTCCCCTTGGCACTAGGAGATGGGGCCACCACCCCTTTTGTATTCTGACCCTGTAGTAACTCACAGACCCACGAATTCTCCTACTTCCTACATGTTGGGATATCTGATTTGAAAGGCTATTTTCCCCCAGTCAAGGAGAGGCAGCAGGTGCAAGGGAGAATCTGGGACGAGGAGTCTTAGGACCTGCGTTCTGTGGCTCTGCTAGAAATTCCTCTGTGACCTTGGTTGACTCACTTCTCCTTCCTGGGCCTTAATTTTTCCATCTGTAAAATGGATCTCAGGTTCTCGTTCTTATTACTGGAAGGCAATTTGGAGCAAGCTCTGACCTAAAGGGAAACAGCAGACTCTCCATGGGGTCCCTGAGCCTGACCCCTCGCTACACCTCCCTCCCAGACAGCGCGGGAAGGAGCCTGCGCGCACAACGCAGCAGCTGGGACCCAGGCCAGCGCCCCCATCGCATACCGTCCTGCAGTCCCCCTCCCTGGCGCCCCAGCAGATCAGCCTCACTGCCTGGGAGGCAACCCCCAGCTGCCCGTGCGCGTGCCAGAGGCCCTCACGGGGCAGATACACAAACTTCCCTCTTCCCTCACCCATCCCCCCAGTTCCCCGACCGGTCCTGCTCCCCTCCGCCATCTTCCGGGAGGCTCAGGGTCCCTGGAGCTGCTAGAACGTGACGCCTCCGTCGCTAGCAGAGGCTTAACCGAGACCCAGCCTCCCCAGCCTCCGCCCCGGCCACCCGGGCACCTCGCGGTCAGCAGAAGGGAGCGGAAGCCGCGACCCCTCACCCGGAGTGACCGGAAGCAGAAGACCACGGGGTGTCCGAGGCGGGACAAAGGGGAGGGGCGGGGAACAAGGGAGGGATGGTGCGTTCAGACTCCCTTGAGAGAGATTTCCAGGAGGCGAGGGTCCCTGCCCTGTGCTCACCGCCTGGCCCCGGCCTGCATGGGCGGCAGAAGCTGGACCAGGGGCCCTGCCCTGCGCGCCAGTGACGGGCAGGAGGCCTGAGTGCAGAGCGTGGCCCGCTGCCCTGGGCACCAGCTCTCCGCCGCGTCTCAGACACCAGGGCTGCTGTGAGCTCCTGGCCTCTCCCCACCCTTCGCACCGAGCTCTGCCCTCAGGCCCTGGGCCGAAAGCTGGGGCGCTGCCCGCGATTGGTGGCCGTGGGACGTCCTCTGGGATGGGGTGGGGTCCCCCATAGCCACCTCTGCCCCTGAGATGCCATCCACATGTCCTAGATTTAGGATGGGAGTGGGGGGAGGAGAGGCGTCTGAGAAGTTTGGGGCGTCTGATAAGTTTGGGGCACCCCCAGGCAAAAGTCCCCAAGTGGCAGGGACACCCGCCTGGATAGCAGCCGGGTCCCCTCCCGGAGTGAAGAGGGGCGGTGAGGCCTGGCCCGCAGAGCAGGGGGCAGGGTGGCACAGGAGTCAGGGGACACTTGTCCACGCCGGGCGCCCGGGCATCTGGGTCCCGTTCCACCTCCTGCCCTGAGGTTTGGGGCAAGCGCGCCCTCTCTGCGGCGTTTTCCCGCGGGTCACACACGAGATTCGCCCACCCTGAGCTCCGTACAGCCCCTCCAGGGACCAGGAGCAGCTCTGGACAGGGGCCAGGAAAGAGGATCCTAGGGAGGCGTCTGGGGCGCAGGCGGGAGCCAGACGAGGCTCGTCCCGCCGGGTGGGGCTCTTTGAGGATCCGAGAGTTGCTGGGACAGAGCCGGCGGGGAGAAAGCAAACAGAGCCTGGCTCCCCTGCCCCCTG